ACTGGTCCCAGAAAGACATCTAAAACCTACCTCATTTTTCTCCTTGTAGGTACTTTTTTTGGTTTTGAACAGAAAAAAAGGATATTTTGTTCCTGAGCTTAATGGTTTAGCCAGAATGTGTCTGAAGGTTTACCATTACAGACTTTTCCCAATAAATGGCATATATTTTCAATCTTCACACTTTCAGCTGGACCCATAATAGTTGTGTGACTTTGGAGAGATCACTCACCCTGGGCCTCAGTTTCTAGAATCACAGAGGGCAGCAATATTGGTCTTAATCACTGCACAGCATTATTGTGAGGGTCAAATAAAGAAATGGATATGAAGGCATTCTGCAAATTGCACAGTGAATGCTATTATGTCATTATTTAGGTGTAGGTGGCATTAAGCCAATGCTTTCATAGCTCCCACCTAGTTCCATTAAAAATCAACTCAGAATTTCCCAAGGGATGATTTGACTTCTTGTTCATGCAGAAACCTGACATTTCCTCTTTGCTCTGGTGGCTGATCTGGGATGGTTTTCTAGAATGTAAATTGCTCACAAGTTGTAAGCAAGTTCAAATTGATGAACTCTGGGGAGAAGATGGTAGGGGATTGGGTTGAATGAACCTCAACCTGAGAATGTAATATTATGAACTTGAAAGGCTGTAGCCATCTTTGCAATGGTTCCTCCCAGTACTATACATGCATGATGACTTATGGACACTGTGTTGGGTAGAAGGAATTATGTTGGTACAGTGCCCTGGGCAGGGTTTCTCTAAATGGGTTCCCCTGAGACATTTAATGATACAGGGTCTGTTCCCAAGTCACCTTCCTTTGGGAAGCTGCCACATTTGTATATTGACTCAACCTCTTAGATATGCTGAGGGAGTATTTAAGTTTTTAAAAGCTCAGAGAAGACCCACAGTTAAGAAACTTGAACAATTTTAATGTGGTATTTCTTGAATTTATTTCATCATGAAACCCCAACCCTCATTTTAGCATATGGGCTGCCACAAGAAGTAGGAAGTGTCATAGAGAGCAGAGCTGGAATGTGGGTCACACACACAAAGATTTGACTACGTCAGACAGCCTGGCTTGTTTAAATTCAGCCTTGGGCTGGAACATCATGGCCTTGAGTATCATTGAGCACATGATGGCCTCCAGTGGGAATGAGCTACAGTCTGGCCAGAGATGCAGCTAGGAATGAGGAGGAACACATCAACTGTGCAGGCTGCCTCTGGCTCAGGAAATCTCTTGGGGGAGCAGTAGAGGGACCAGGAAGGAGGCAGGCTGAAGGGTGAGGTGGGATCCCTGTGCAAAGTGTATGGTCTGGTGGCAGAGAAAGCTCTGAGTCAGGCTGCCAGCCTGTTCAAATCCCACCTGCACCATGGACAAGCAAGCTCTGCGAGGCCAGGCAAGTCTCTTCCAATCTCTGTCTCATGGTCCTTGCATGAGAGGGGGATGGTAATAGTTCCTGCCTTATGTGTTTGTAGAGAGCTTTGCAGAGAGCCTACCAGATCAAATTTTCAATAAATATTAGCTATTAGTTCTATGCTAATCCCTATTTTCTTTTCTGTTGTGTGGATAACTGCTTCCTTGTCAGGTGGCTCTCTGGGATATTGGAGTCAGTCTCTAGGGGTGGGGGAGGAAGGTGCCTCTCTAGCAATTTGTGTGCACTATGGTGGGAAAACAGCACAGAGAGGAAATAGCTCAAGGCCAGGGCTTACCCCAAAGTCCCAGCTGCCCTCACCATGCCTCAAGCTGCTCTGGTCCATGTAATCTGTGCTGCCCTGGAGCGCAAGCCAGATAGGCTCCCCAACACACACACACACTTCCTCCTTGGAGCTCTTCGTGTTCCTGTAGCCCAGTGGCATACAGAAGAGAGAGGTGGAGAGCTCCTTCCATGGAATCTGGCTACCAGGACCATCCTGAGCAGAGGCAGAAGGATTTGAAGGCACCTCAGGGCCCTGTGAACCAGAATGTTCTTGTCTGAGTGCTCAGAATTGTTAGAATCTTTGCATAAAGGCCATTGGGCCTCCAAACTGATCCTTGGTACCTGGGGCAGGGTAAAGCTGTGGCCCATTACTTTTTTTTTTTTTCACATAAAAATAATATTTATTAACTCAGACTGTACAAAATATTTAGTCAAACCAAAACAATTCCACAAAAACTTAAGTAAAATCTTGTATTCTAGATAGGACAGGAGACTGCCTTTAGCTTAAGATGCAAAAGAAAAGCAAAATGGCTGCCATTTCCTATTGTAGAACAGCCAGCCCTGTGGGGATCTGAGGTGCGAGGCACTGCAGTTGATCTAATGTTCCTTAGGTCAGGGGCAGCCCACTGCCCAGAACTCAGCTCAAGCAATGGCTTTGTTGCTATTACAGCAATAGGATCCTTGGTATAAAAGTTCAAACAAAGCTCAAAGCCCACAGTCCTCCCTGGAGGTGGCAGTAAATTATAGGTGGGTGAAGGTAGGATTCCTCATGGGTGAACTGAGGCCACAGATCAGACCCTTGCAAGGGGCCACTCACTATGCTCTAGGGCCTCAGGGAACACTCTACCTAACTCTCAGTATTTCTGATTCTTTGCTGCTAGAAGCTACTTGGTCAATGAGGTACCAAGGAGCCCTACAGGGACTGAAAATGAGAAAAGGGGACTGCCTGAAGCCCAGTCACTGTGGAAAAATGGAAAAAAATGGAGTCTCCCTGATCTTTTATCAAGAAATTCCTAAAATAAAGGGGTAAAAGAATCTGAGTATATCACAGTTACATAGATTTGTGATAAAAGACTCAGTACTATAAAGACAAAAGTTTCCCCTAATAAATCCATAACATGTAAATTCAGTTTAATCTCAATTAAAATTTCCAATGAATCTTTTGTGACCTTAACTAGAACAATCCATAGTCAGTGCCCTACCAAACATCCAGTCTTAGAAGAATAAATCAATGGAAGTGTATTTTCAAGGAAAAAAATAAAGGATGAAACATGGACTCTATTCTGGAAAGAAAAGGAAGGATGGTTTGTGGGCAGAAGCCATTGTGGTCAGTGGCTAGATGTCTTCATGAGACATCCAAGTGGAAGAGGTGACCGTAGAAGTGAGCTGCTATGAAATAAAGAAAGAGTGACTAGTGTTTTGGTCACAGAACTGAGAATTCCTTGACTGAGTACCAGGTTTTATCAGAACTAAAATATGATCTAGTGGTTAAAATAAAAAAGGTGACAGAGGTAGTGATAACACAGTCACTGGAGGAAAAGACCTGAGCAGGAGGTCAGAGATGGAAATGAGGCTAGTGGCAGGGTGGTATGACTGACTAGCATCCATATCGAAATAGCACGAGGTTCCTAAAAGGGAAGGGGAAAGCGACTCTGCAGCAGCACTTGGGCAGCAAGGCCATGGCCACCTCCAGACCTGGGACACGGAGGGCCAGGGTTTGGAGAAAGACTTCATGGGGGCTCTCCTGTGTTTGCAAGGACCTTATATATTCCAAAGAACTAAGAATAGCCACATTTCCATTATTTGTCCCCATTCACCTTACCTCCCCAACTCTCCCCTGATGATTAAAACTGGTTTATAGTCATCATAGGAGACTTTAGAAATCTGGACTTTTTATATTAAAAATGAGGGCCGGGGATTTAGCTCAGTGGTTCCGCCACCTGCCTCGCAAGTGCAAGGACCTGAGTTCAGTCCCTGGTACCAAAAACAAACAAAAAACTCTATATTAAAAATGAGTGTAGCTGTACATAGTGGCACACACTTGTCATCTCAACATTCTGCGAGGCTGAGGCTGGAGGGTTGCAAGTTTAAGCTCAGCCTGAGCAACTTTACGAGCCCCTATCTCAAAGTCTCAAAGTAAAGAATAAAAAGGGATAGGGATGTAGCTCAGTGTGAAGGCCCTGGGTTCATCCCCCTGTACCACACACGCACACACACACACACACACACCCCCTGGGTTCATCCCCCTGTACCACACACACACGCACACGCGCGCTATCCACACACAGAGAAGGGGGAAGGTGACATGTGAGAAGCTGGAGGAGGGTTTTTCAACAGCAGCATCCTTGACATTTGGGCCAGATGATTCTCCCGTGTGAGCCTGACCTGTGCATTGTGGGATACGCAGAAGCATCCCTGGTCTCTACTCACTACACGCCAGCAGCAACCCTGCCTCAGTCATGTTAAAATATTTTTTTCAGATACTGCCAAATGTCCCCGGGGATAAAACTGCCCCTGATGAGAACCCTTGGGGTAGAGGTGAGCCGTAGGAATAGAGTTGGGATAGGATGTAACTGGAATGGACAGGGAAGGTGACAGAGGATGAAATCCAGGCAAAACCGCAGTCTCCGTTTATGGCCCCCATGGCACTCCATGAAGCTTCTCTAAATTTTAGTGTAGGCTCAGTGCTCTCTCATGGCTACCTCCACCACCTCAGATTTCCCATTAGTTGACCATGTGCCAGATATTAATGGCAACATTCCTGCCTGATACTGAGAAGCACTCGTGGTGGGAGAGAAGGGGTGTCACATTCTTTTTGAGACCAGGAACTCCTAGCTTTCAATTAGTCCCCAATTTTCTATTTAAAAATATGGCCTCTAAAACGGACATAAGGCTATTGTTCCTCTTCATGATAGCCCACCCTAGGCTGTAGGGTATATTTTCTTTCCTCCTTTTTTACTCAGCCCAAACTCACTCTGCAGAGCTAATTTTTCCCTTACGCTTGTTTTTTTTTTTTTTTTTTACCTTTAATAAACATGAAACTTTTCCACTGTTAAAAAATGAAAATGGGTCTTCCTGTAAGAGCCTATGTTCCCATTCAAATGTACTTAAAAAGTTGAGATATATAATCAGCAGTGTCCTTATTCAAGGAAAAACAATCTAATATGACATCATTTATTAATATCAAGACTAATGTGAATGTACTTAATGCCAATGAACTGCACACTTAAAAATGATTAAAATGACTAATTTTGTAATGTGTATTTTATTACAATTAAATTAAAAAAAATATGACAAGAAAGGATACCCAAAATTAAGGCAATCTTTATTTACTTTCCTTGTAATCATATCATGTAAGGCATAAGTGGTGCTTATTTGACAGGATACCGGTTGGTATTTTCATTGGTTGGATTTTCATTCAGAAATGTATCATGTTAGACTGGCGTCAATGTGAGGCACTCCTCTGGCACAGGCTTTTACTTTCTTTTTTTTTTGGTACCGGGGATCAAACTCAGGACCTTGCGCTTGTGAGGCAGGCGCCGGAACCACTGAGCTAAACTTCCGGCCCCACAGGCTTTTACTTCTGATAAATGCATTTTTCCCTCACTGAGCCTGGCTCAAACTCAGTCACTGTTTTAGCAGCATGAAGAGCAGTGTGGCAACTTCCCTGAAGGTCACCTGTTTTACCACGTGAAGTAAGAGGTGTGCATGGTGGCTCCTGGTTCTCTCAGGCCACATTCTGAATGATGACTGCGATGCCTTGGCCGCCTCCAATGCAAGCTGAACCAACAGCGTATTTTCCACCTCGACGCCTAAGAAAGCAAGCAGTGGCTGAAATCTACTCTGATAGTTAGATTAATTAAAGTGAATTAATAGCAGTCAGATTTGGATTATTCATTCTTACTCAGTTTGGCTTCTTAGTCTTTCCCATAATACTCAGTTTTGGTTTATAGGCACAAGAGCTGAATATTTTTATTCAAAAAAAGAAACCCAAAAAAGTAACACAGAAGAAGGCAATCGAAGAAGAGGATGGGTAGGTTTAGGGCTAGAAGAACTGAAACAAATACACGAACTTATGTGTGCTGTGGAAAAAGAGTGAAAACAGGAGATAATTTAGATAAATAAGGGAATTCGAAAAACGAGGAAGGGACATTCAGCTTCTCTGATTTACATGGTTTTAGATTCTTATGGCACTTCAGAATATAAGTAATTAATCAAATTTGTCCATATGAAAGAGCAAACAGCTGGTCGTGGTGGTGCCTGGGAGGCTAAGGCAGGAGGGTCCTGCGAGTTGAACACCAGGTTGGGCTACATAATGAGTTCAAAGCCAGGCTGAGCTATATAGAGAGACCTTGTCTCAAAAAAGAAAGAAAAGGAAAGCAGATAGTTTAGAAAGCATTTATGTCCATTTCATAAAAATTAGACTCATAGAAAAACGTCTGTTCCCATTCTTCAGTCCTGACATGGTGACACTGAGAATATCATCTAGGAATTATTGTCATACATGTCCAGCGCTCATTTCAACCCAGTGATCAGTAAGTGAAACTAGTCCCATTTTCTTTAGTCTAACAGGGAGTTGGTGGAACTTTTCAGCCTCACATATTTGGTTTCCTTTGCAATTTTCCTGCTAATAGAGAAAATGACCTAAAATACACAAGGCCAGAAGGAGGAGCTCTTCTATCTAAACTAGAGTATCAAACATGCAGAGGGCTCCCCCCGCCACCCCTGGCCCCCCGACATGGCAAAGGGAAGTCTTAGACGCAAACTGCCAGTTTGCTTAGGTTCCCTAAATAAGCACTAAAATGCAAAGTGCCCTGTGAACCAGGGCCTCCTCCTGTGATCACTGCTGGTCATCAGCACCAGGTGGGCGAGCCTCACAGAGCAGAGCTCGGCCCCCAGTGGAGAGTGAGTAACAAGTCCACTGACTCATCTGCAAGGCACTGCAGAGTTGACAGAGGGAAAAGGGGCAAAAGGTTGGACTGTTCTGAGAAAACTGAAATTCGTGTGTTTCTATTAAAAAAGCACATCCAAAATGGAACTACCTTAATTCATGAACCAGGTGTGCGGTAATTCTTGTTCCAGATCCTCCCAATGGGTGACCCAAAGCAATGGCTCCTCCATTTACATTGGTTTTACTTGGATCAAGATTCAAACTCTTCTCAACAGCCAAGTACTGGGGAGCAAAAGCTTCATTCACCTTAGAAAAAAAAAGGTAACAGTGGTAAGAGTCTTTATTCACAAACTTTTAACCAAAGTGGTCCAGTCCTACTGAGAAGCGAACTGTGCTATTTCTTCCTATTGAAATTACATCATGATGCTATTTGAACTTATCTTTAATCATTGTGTAAAGATATCAGGTTTTTCCAGAGAGCAAGAGAAAGAGAGAGAATAATAGTCAAAATAATCATGTTCAAGGTTATCTAGAAGTATCTTCCTTTACAAAAGATATAATGTTTAAAAGCAGGTATATTTAATAAATGATATTTTGCATCAAATACATTCCTTAAAGAAAACATCAGTAATCTTATAAATGGACACTACAGGCAGGGAGATAATGTAGAAAGCTCATAGGTTTTGGAGACAGATAGATGGTTCAAATCTTGGCTGAATCATTTATTCGTGTGTGATTCTCCACATGTTATTTAAACTCTTTATACTCACATTTGCTCAACTACAAAATCCATCTGCAGTATCATGCTGAAAGTCATTGTTAAAGTTAAATAAAATCATGGACTGTCTAGCATATTACCTGTCAGACTGCAAGTACTTGACAAGTGGCTGCTATTATTACCCAGTACTAAGAGCCACTCTTCCAAGAAGGAACTGGCAGTCAACAAAGAATAAACCTTCAGAGCTTGAGACACAGAGAGAATGGTTACTATGTTCAAATGAGGCAGAAAGGAAAAGTGTCATATTGTTATATTTATACTTACCAAGGCTGTCTATGAGAATTGTCTTGCTTCATTGGCAGTACTATAATTTTATCAGGAATTTTGTTTTGTTTTGTTTTTTTGGTACCGGGGATCGAAGTCAGGACCTTGCGCTTGCAAGGCAGGTGCAGGAACCATTGAGCTAAATCCCTGGCCCTTCATCAGGAATTTTATAAAAAAACTGATTCTGAGGAAGGTAACATTTGCAGAGTTGGGCCAAACTCAGTCTTGTTCTCTTTCCTACTATATTTTGGTACTTTTCCTAAAATTATTTGTCCTAAGATCCAACATTATTCATTTGTTTTATATCATCATACTCAAGGAGATGGTGTACTAAGAGACCTAGAATATGTTACGAAGAGTAAGCTTCTGAACCAGGGGAACCAGGCTGTCCTTAAGTATCTATATATCTAGAAATGATAATGAACAGCTTTGCAGACTTGCTGTATTTTAATGGTTTTAAGCATGAAGTCTAATGTCAGAAATTTAGCGTTACCTACTTGCAGTCACAAATACAGTGGTACTTCAGTTCAAGAACTTAAGTTTTTCCACGATTCTGGTCACAAACTGAATTGGATGAGATCCAAATAAAATTCAATGGTTAGGTTCAATGTTGACCTTATGGCGAAATTTGATTAGATTCTCATCCAATTCAGTTTGTGACCAGAATTGTGCAAAGAATTAAGTTCGTGAACTGAGGCATCACTGCACAGTATGATAATTAAGCAGTCCCCTGAGTTTCTGAACTACTAAGAATGAAGATTTACAGATAAACCATTATTCACCTGAAACCATGGTTTCCTGGGTGAGAGATTACTAGAGGAAACCACACACATACCTACCCCTTCTTTATCATTTAAATAGATTCCTTTGTCATATTAATTATTTCCCAGAGGCAAGCAGCATAGCTTAATTACCTGAAATTTTCAGATACTTCCCCAAAGTGAAATGTATACAATTCACTGTGTATTTTCTACTCTGTCTCTTCTTTTAATTATGGTAAATGCTTAAGACATCTTTGTTCTAATATTAATATTTTATATAATCACTCTTGTGGCAGGAAGTGTAGCTCAGCAGTAGAGTATGTGCATAAGTCTATCCTCAGTACCACACACACCACTAGTAAATTTAAATTTCCAGTGTCTTCTATCAAGCCACAACTATGGTGTAAAAGCCAAAGATAGGTTTGAGGAGGCTTCAATTTGGGGGAAAGGGCAAGAAACTTGATTTGGCACTAGGTCAATTCTTTTGTCCATATTTTTTTCATTTAAAATGGGATTATGGTTACTTATTTCTCTCCTACCTTCTGTAATACTCAGTTCAATAGGCATATCAACAGTCTAAAATGTAACAGAGTAGTACAAAGTTCCAAGAAGTTCCCAGGACTTTATAGTTAAGTAGGAGCAATCAGGCTGTTTAAGTTATTCAAATATAAGCATTTTAATCAGGCATGGAAAAGTACTAGCACAAGGCATATAATATTTACGTAGATATGCATCATTGGGAAAGGCGAATAGTACCTGCACAAAGAGTTACAAAATCCTAAACTAAAGCCAGTGATGCTATAGAAGTAGGTGGTTCACTCCTGTTGTAAAAACAGAACACTTACCTCTACCAAATCCATGTCCTTGAGACTCAGTCCTGTTTTTTTCAATGCCCCACTGATGGCAGGAACAGGACCTATGTAAGAATAAGATTCTCTTATAGAAATCGTCATCTTATTTATCTGTCAAAATTCTTCCTTACTTAATAAGGAAGAAATAATGTGACAGAGTTAGCAGTAGCCACAAATCTTGCTGCCCTGTCAGCACGTGTTAACTGATGGGACAACGAAGAAACAGAAAATAGGACCAAGGTGAAAGGCTGTTTGACTCTGTAGTTAAACTGCAGGTGTGAGACTTCTATGAAAAGATCTACCATGTATGGCTTTAGGATTTCAAAAGTCCAAAGAAGTCGCTGGTGGGGTTTACAGTCAGTTACAGATCACACTTGATCTCAAACAGCCGGGCACAATGAGTGCTCTCCATAAGTTCATGGGATAGAAAATTTGGAGACGAATCTGGATAAAAGGCAAGAAATAGCAGCAGCATCTCCACAGAAGCACAGCACAGAGGGGCTCCCACTTCGGGGAAAACTACCTAAATAAAGTACGAAAACAGTCCTAACTCCAAAGGTAGGGAGAGGATTTAAAGAAAACATGATCCTTGACTCAAGAAATGCAAATCTACCTAATAAGACTTTTGATGTAAACTTTAACTCTTATATTTCTGATGATTACCACTGAAAGTTTAATATTGCTCCTAATTTTAAATAAATCAATGTTTTTTTCCAAAAGGTAAAAAGTCTCACTAGAGAAGATTATCTCTTCTGTTCATTCTTGAAGTATGAAACTGCAGTACATGTCTACAAAGAAAAACTGTATCTTTTGTTGAATACAAGTAGTCAAACTTATGTAACAAGTTTTACAAATATACCTAAGGTAAGATGTAAAATAAATCTTTTTGTTTGTTTGGTTTTTTTTGGTACTGGGGATCAAACTCGGGACCTTGCGGTTGCAAGGTGTAAAATAAATCTTTATAAGAAAAATACAATTCAATATAAATAAAATGTTAAGTTATAGTGCTCTTTGGACACGTCTGCTTATTGAGTAGGACCATCCATTTAATGTCTTTTGATTTAAAGTGGCAGTTCTGGGCTGGGGATTTAACTCAGTGGTTCTGGCGCCTGCCTTGCAAGCGCAAGGTCCTGAGTTCAATCCCCACTACCAAAAAAATAAAAATAAAATTAAAAAATAAAGTAGCAGTTCTATGTGGCTACTAATTTATATGGAACTGAATTCCAGATTCTCTCTGCATACGTGTCCAAACATAAAAACATGATTGATAGTAAAAAGTAAAGTACCAGATATCCAGCATGGTCAGAGGATTGTTTGTCAGCTTTCCATCACTATAATGAAATATCTGAGATCATTAACTTATAAAAGGAAAAGGGATGATGTATCCTTCAGTGTTAAAAGATACACAGAAAGAGAAGCTGAAAATTCTAAGTCACTGTATCCACGATTCTATCCTCAGAAACATCAGTAAACCAGAATCAATCAGCTCATGTTAACTCATAGTTACTATAGTCAAATATAACAGTATGCTGGGTCATAATCCTTCTCAGGTGACTCTACTTACTGGGACTAAGGAAGGTTTAGTATTCTTAAAAGTAGACCTCATTTCTAGTCCTGGATCCTGCCATTAACAGGTACAACTTTGGGCACTTCTTCGGGTTTCAAAGTTCAATTAAAAAATGCTTTAAATTGACTGTTAATCTTTGCCTTTTTAAGTACTAGAATTCTATGAATGAACCCCTAAAAAGATAACACTAGAACAGCTAAAGCTCAGCGGCTTAAAGTTCCACCCACCCACCTCCACCACTGCCATCCCTGAGGTGTTTCAGGCAGCAGGGTCTTTCTGGAACTGTGCACTTCCTCAGAGCTATTGCTGTTCTCTTCAAGTTTCTTCAAGTCTTCATTCATGGATCTGCAGCTATTTTGCAGGGCCACAGACTGCTACATGGTAGGTGTCTGCAGAACCAAGGACCACTGGTCTTACAAACTGGATTTCCAAATGAGTCCCCACTATCCTCCCTGCTTGTTTATCTGGGGCACTTCTCTAGTTACCTTGCTTAATCCCATGCTACAAGTGATAGGCAAGCTTCGAGGTAAAGAAGGCATCTGATATTGACATACTTAGCAGGTATAGCTGTGCTCAAACCCTGAGGAAAAAACCCAATCCTGCCACAGTGGTGTTCATTGTACTTTAGGGCAGATATCCAGGCCTAGGAAAAGAAGGAAGAAAAACATATTTTCTTTGCTCACCAGCTAATGCTAACCCGTCAGAACCCATTAAGTGAGGTTAAACTGGATGACTATAAAGTAACTACTTATCTAAATCAGATAAATGTGATGGATCATCAAAGCATGTAGGTATTCTGAAGAAAACCCAATTCTTAGGCTCCATTTAGCTATAAATGCCTCAAGTTTATTCTTTATGGCTGAGTAATACTCTACTGTATTAAAAACATCTTCTTTATTCATTTTTCAGCTGATGGGCAATTGGGCTGTTTCTAAGATTTAGTTATTATAAATTGTGCTGCTGTGGGGCTGGGGATTTAGCTCAGTGGTTTCGCTGCCTGCTGCGTAAGTGCAAGGACCCAAGTTTGATCCCTGGTACCAAAAAAAAAATGTGCTGCTGTGAAAATGGCTGTGTATATATCACTGTGATATGATGCTTTTAGTTCTTTTGGGAAGATACCTAAAAGGGGGATAGCTAGGTCAAATGGAACCTCTAGACCTAGTTTTTTGAGGAATCTCCACACTGATTTCCTCAGTGGCTGCACCAGTCTACACTCCCACCAACAACGGAGGATATTTTTTCCCCACAGCCCCACCAGCATTAGTTACTGGTCAATTTCTTGATAATGGCCATTGTTTCTGGAGTGAGATGGAATCTCAGAATTGTTTTAATTTCCATTTCTTGAATGAACAGTGATGTTGAACATTTTTTCATATATTTATTTGCCTTTTATACTTCGTCATCTGAGAAGTATGCATTCATCTCAGATGCCCATTTTTGATTGGGTCTTTAAATTTGGGGGGTTTGATTTTTCTGTTTTTGTTGTTGTTGTTGTTGTTTTATTTTGGTACCAGGGATTGAACTCAGGACCTTGTGCTTTCAAGGCAGGCACGGGAACCACTGGGCTAAATACCTGGCCGTCTCAGTTCTTTATATATTCTAGATATCAGTCTTTTGTATGAGGACAGGTGGAAAAATTTTTTCCCACTCAGTTGTCTCTTTACTCTGTTCATGGTTTTTTCTGCTGTGCAAAAGCATTTTAATAGGATGAGATCTCAGTTGTTGATTCTTTATATTTCCTGTGTGATCAGGGTTTTGTTCTTAAAGTCTTTGCCTACACCTATGTCTTCAAGAGTTTCACCTATACTCTCTTCCAGGAGATTTAGTGTTTTTGTTTTAACATTTAGATCTTTGATCCATTTTGATTTTACTTTAGTGCATGGTGAGAGACATGGGTCTAGTTTTAGTCTTTGACATGTGGAGAGCTAGTTTTTCCAGCACCATTTATTAAACAGGTTGTCTTTCTTCCAGTGAAGGTTTTTGGCCCCTTTGTCAAAGACAGACAGTTCAGTGTGTTTAGAATTGTTTCTGCATCTTCTATTCTGTTCCATTGATCCTCGGGTCTGTTTTGTTTTGTTTTTGCCAGTACCATGCTGTTTTTATCACAATAGCTCTGTAGCATAATTTCAGGTCAAGGACTGTGATGCCCCCTGCCTTGCCTTTGTTGTCCAGAATTGTTTTTTCTATTCTAGGTCTCTTCTGGTTCCAAATGAATTTTAGGAATGTTTTCTCTAGTTCTGTCAAGTATGCTATTGGTATTTTGATTAAGATTGCATTAAATCTGTGTAACAATTTTGGGAGTAGGTCATTTTTACTATGTTGGTTCTTCCTACCCATGAGCAGGGGATATCTTTCCATTTTCTGATATCCTCTTCAATCTCATTTTTCAGAGTACTGCAGTTTTCAATGTAAAGATCTTTTACTTCTTTTTTAAGATGATTCCCAAGTATTTAATTTTTTTTCAAAGCCATCATGAAAGGCATAGTTTCCCTAATTTCTCTCTCAGTAAGTTTGTGATTTTGTGTACAGGAATGCTATTGATTTTTGATTGTTGATTGTATCCAGCTACATGATTGAATTTAGTTACTAAATCTAGTAGTCTTTTGGTGGAGTTTTTAGGGTCTTTTATGTAGAGTATCATGTCATCTGCAAATGATAGTTTAACTTCTTCCTTTCCTATCTTTATTCCTTTTATTTCTTTCTCTTGTCTAATTGCTTTGGCTAATATTTTCAGAACTACATTGAATAGGAGTGGTGACAGTGGACATCCTTGTCTTGTTCCTGATTTTAGAGTGAAAGCTTTCAGTTTTTGACCATTTAGTCAAATGATGCTGGCTGTTGGTTTATTATAGATGGCTTTTATCAGGCTGAGATAAAGACTATCCCAATTTTCTATAGGGTTTTATCATGAATAGGTGTTGGACTTTGTCAAATGCTTTTTCTCCATCTATTGAGGTTATCATGTGATTTTTGTACTTGGCTCTGTTAATATGGTGTATTACATTTATTGATTTGCATGTGTTGTACCACTCCTGCATCCCTGGGATGAGTCCTACTTGGTCAGTTTATAATCTTCTTGATGATTTGCTGCATTCTGTTTGCCATATCTCATTGAGGATTTTTGTATCTATGTTCATTAGGGAGATTGGCCTGTAGTTTTCTTTTTTTGGTTGGATCCCTTTCTAGTTTTGGTATCAGGGTAATACTTTCAGGAATGAATTTTGGATTACTGCTTTTCTTTCAATTTCATTAGAGTTTGAGGAGTAGTGATTAGATCCTCTCTAAATTTCTTATAGAATTCAGCAGTGAATCCATCTGGGCTTTTCTTTGTTGGTAGGTTTTTATTTACCTCTTCAATTTCACTGACTGTTATTGGGTTATTTAGAATTTTTATATCTTACTGATTCAGCTTTGGTAATTCATAGGTATCTAGGAATCTGTCCATTTCTTCTGTGTTTTCCATCTTATTAGCATAAAGATTCTTGAAATAGGTATTGATGATCTTCTGGATTTCTGCAGGATCTGTTGTGATTTCACTTTTTTAATTCCTAACTGCATGGACTTGAGTCTTCTTTTGATAAGGTTGGCTAAGGGTTTGTTAATTTTATTTAATCTTTCAAAGAACCAACTCTTTGATTCATTGATTCTTTGAATTTTTTTCTTAGTCTCAACTGCATTAATTTCTGCTCTACTCTTTATAGTTTTCTCCCTTGTATGACCTTTGGGCTTGACTTGTTCTTTTTTTTGGTACCGGGGATCAAACTCGGGTCCTTGCGCATGTGCAGCAGGTGGTGAAACCACTGAGCTAAATCCCTGGCCCAATCTTTTTCTTTTTTTTTGGTACCAGAGATCGAACTCAGATCCTTGCACTTAAGCAGCAGGCATCGGGCAGCAGGCAGCGAAACCACTGAGCTAAATCCCTGGCCCTTGACTTGTTCTTTTTCTAGAAGTTTGAGGTTCAGCATTAGGTTCTTTATTTGAACTTGCTGTTTTCCTGATGTGAGCATTCACTGCTACAAATTTCCCTTGTAGGGCTGCTTTCATTACATTTTATAAGTTCCAGTATGTTGTATTGGCATTATCATTTAATTATTGAAACTATCTGATTTCTTGTTTAATTTTATCTGTGACCCATTGGTTGTTCAGGAGGGTGTTAATTTCCATGTGTTTATGAAAATTTTGTGGTTTCTTTTGCCAGTGATTTCTAATTTCATTGCACTATGGTCTGATAATATGCATGGGATAATTTCAATTCCATTGTATTTACTTAAACATGTTCTATGTGCTAGTATGTGGTCTATTTTGTTTTGGGTTTTTTTTTGGTACCAGGGATCGAACTTGGGTCCTTGCGCTTGCACAGCAGGTGAAGAAACCACTGAGCTAAATCCCCAGCCCTATGTGGTCTATTTTGGAGAACATTCCATGTGCAGCTGACAAGAATGTGTATTCTGATGTGAGGTGGAATACCCTGTAGACAACTAAGTCCATTTGTTCACAAGTTTGGTTCAGTTCTGATATTTGTTCATTTTTTTATCTAGCTGATTTGTCCATTTGTGACAGTGGGGTATTGAGGTCCCCCATTACAACTGTATTAGTGCTTATATGATTTTTCATGTCTGTTAATATTTGTCTTATAAAGTTGAGTGTGCTGGTATTTGGTGCATATATATTTGTTATCTCTTCTTCTTGGCGTTTTCCCTTAACAAGTATATACTGACCTTGCCTCTTTTGATCAGTCTTGGCTTGAAGCTCACTTTGTTTTCAAATACAATAGCTACCCCTGCTTTTTTCTAGGTTCCTATCACCTGAAGTATTATTTTTCATCCTTTGATTTTCAGCCTAGGACTTTATTTTTGAGTCAATGTATTTCCTGTATGCAGCAAATTATTAGATCTTGTTTCTTGACCCATTCTGCTAGTCTGTTTTTTTTGACTGGTAAATTGAGACTATTTACATTGATGGTTATGTATTGGCTTATCTTTACCATATTATTTTCCTGCTATTGGTTCCCTATCTTTTTCCTGTGTTTAATTGCTTGCCTTTCCTGGTGGTTTCTTTTTATTAGTGTTCTTTGAATTGTGGTCTTTGTTATCTCTTTCTAAAATATCTTTCAGAACATTTTGTAGAGCTGGTGTGGTGGTCATAAATTTCTTCAGCTGTTCTTTGTCATGGAAGTATCTTATTTCTCCATTGATTCTGAAAAATAGTTTTGCAGGGTATATCAATCTGGGCTTGAGGTTGTTTTCTTTCAGATCTTGAATTTCATCCATTTATTTATTTAACATTTGAGCACAAGTATCAACACTTTCTCATGAACCGAGATGCAGCAAAGAACCAAAAAGATGATTCTGGCCCTCATGGAGCTTACTGGTGGCAGGATGGGGAGGAACAAGGTTATCTATTAGGGAACTCTACGTATTACAGCTAAAAATGACGCAGAAGAGGGAGGGTATAGGGCATACTGGATAGTCAGAAAAGATCTTACAAGCAAACAAAAGCTGATATCCAAAAGAAGGGTTCTTAGCAAAGAAAAGAAAGTAAGTACACAGTCCCTGCGGTAGAAGCATGACTGCTATGTTCAAGAAACGGGAATGATACTATTTTGTAGCCTCAAAGTTTCAGATCTTGAAATACTTCCTCCAAGCTCTGCTTGACTTAAAGGTTTGTGTTGAGAAGTCTACTGTGATTCTAATATGCTTTCCTTTATACACTGTTTCTTTTCTCTAACAGGTTTTAATATTCTGTTCTTGTGCTAAATATCTGGGATCTTGATTATTACATGTCTTGGTAGATTTATTTTGGTCATGGCTGACTCAAGTTCTATATGCCCTGTTATCTGTGTGTCCAATTCTTTCTCCATGGTTGGGAAATTTTCTCCCATTACTTCTGTGAACAGGTTTTTTATGTCCTTCTCACTGACTCTTGCTTTTTCACTGACTATCATCAATCTTATGGTGTTCTTTTTTGCATCATCTTGCAGCTGTTGGATTGTTTTTTTTATGTCCTTTGCTATCTTTTTGGGTTTTTTTTGGTACTGGGGATCAAACTCAGGTCCCTGCGCTTGCGAGGCAGGCGGTGGAAGCACTGAGGTAAATCCCTGGCCCTGTCCTTTGCTATCTTTAAGAGATCTTTCTTTTCATGATCACTAACTGCAATCCTATCTTCTAGGTCTGACAGTCTGTCTTCACTTTCTTTCATTCAGCTTTGCAAACTTTCAATGGAATTTTTAATTTTCTAGATATGTTTGAATCTATTTCATGTATCCCATTTCTTTCCTATGTTGGGCATTCATAGTTTCCAGTATTTTTCTAAGCTCTTCTATTTTTAAAAAAATCTATGTCTACTCTAGATTTGCTGAGCATGTCCTTCATTATGATCATCATCCCTTTTTTTACCTGAGAGATTATTTCTTTTTTGATTTTCTCTATAGCCTCATTCATTTGTTTATTTACTTCTACTGCTATCATTTCAGAAAATTCCAGTAAGTGGCTTCTGATTTCCTTTATCTCATTGACCCCTGGATTTGTTCTGGGTGGGCTGGAGGTCTGGGGTTGTATTTTGCTTCTGTGTCTTGTCATTTTCTATTTTTAAATTTTAATTTGTTTTCTGTGTTGATACTTTTAAGTTTCTTATGTTAGGTAGCTTATCACTAGTGTTGAGGCTTCCCTAGGAAATGTCTATTACTGAGAGATGTCTTCTAGGTGTAGCTGGCTCTTGGTCTTTGTGTCTGTCCCAAGATCCTATCTTCTCAATTTATTAGGTCTGAGAAGTTGCTATTTGGCTCAGCTTCCAGTCCTTTGGTACTGGACAATGGTGACAATTATAACCTCAGAGAATCACAGTGTTGTCATACAACGGCAAAAAACTGATTACAACAGGTATGGCATCCTGGCTAAAGTAGTGCAATTAACAATATTATCAAGCACAGCCTAGAAACTGATAAACAGTGGTAACTGCTAATTTGGTACCTTTAAGCATAAGAGCAAGATCTATAGCTATATAACAACATCGAACATAAACCAGGAACTTGTATGCAGTGAGTTTACCTTTGGTAAAGTGATTTTACTCTGTGGCGGGGGAGGCGGGGCAGTGTTAAGAGGGATAGAAGACAAAACAAAGTGACAACTGGAGAGAAATATAGTAGAAGCAAGGCTAAAGGACAGTGGATGATCACCGAAGCTTTGGGAAACTGAAGAAGAGGACAGGATTGAAGGAATGAAGGAGAACGCAAAAGAATACCAAACCAAACCAGAAAGACTAGCAACAATGTTCATTCACATAAAAATATAAAAAAAATTAAGACAGTTGAGAGAAAAAAGATGAACAAAGAAAACACACAATAAAAGTAAAAACCTAAATAATGAAGAAAAAAAAGACAGAAAAGGAAAACAAAATGAACAAACAAAGAAAAAAGGAAAAAAACAAACCAAAACAATAAAATTCCTATGGTATCCACAGTTCTGAAGTAATTTCCCACTACTTGTCTCCGCTGCCCAAGCCTGCTTGTGCTGCTGGTTGCAAGTCTGCAAGTCAGAGGGAGGGCTGACTTCCCGGCCCAAGGATGCCTGCATTATTGGTTGCAGGGCGGGGAAATGGTAATTTCCCACTCCTTGTTTTCATTACCCAAGGCTGCTTGCCACTGGTCGCAGCCACGTCTGCAGTCTGAATTCCTCTCTCCTACCAGTTTGTAGGGCAGGAGAGGTTGTATTGTTCCACTTGCTATCTTCAACCCTGCTGCTGGTCCCTAACTTTGTGGTCACTAGAGGTTTCAGATAGCTGCTATGGAGAAAAAACACCTTTTATTTCTAATTCATTATTGTCAAGTCAAGACTATATATATTTGTAGGGAGTTCCAAATTTTCTCCAACTAGTACACCTGTATCAACCTAGATAATTGTTTATAATTCTTCATTTTGCTAATAATCAGTCCTATCAGCTGAGCCATGGGAGAATTACTCTGACTTCCTGAGAGAATGTTTAACTCACAGTGAAAAGGATACTTTAATTACAGAGACCTGGATTCAGATCCTGACTCCATCACTTACTTGTCTGAAACTTTACAAGGCAACTTCCTTACACTTCAATTGCCTCATTTACCAAAAAGTCTCACTGTAGCAGTGAGCTGGGAAGACTGAGATTCACTAGTGAGTATGTGTACAGCCACCAGGGAGCAGTGGTGCCATCTTCAGTCAGCCTTCGCTCTCTCACCCCAAGATTGCCTGTCAGCACCATGCAATTCTGTTATTTTCTCTGTGTTAATTTTTAAATATCTCAAATCAACAATAAGACATGATTGCTACCCACAGGGAGTTTACATGGTCTTGATTTTCCTAAAATGATTTTTTTTTTTTTGGTACCAAGTATCAAACTCAGGACCTTGTGGTTGCGAGGCCGGAGGTGGCACCACTGAGCTAAATCCCCAGCCCAAAAAGATGATTTTTTTAAATGACTGCTTGAAATCTTCATTTCTCTACAAGTCACCTTGATGTGGCTTTTTCAGGAATCTGAATTCCAAAGAAGACCTATCTCCAAAAATAGAACAGAATCAGTTCGTTTCATTATAAACTTACCAATACCCATAATAGATGGATCACATCCAGACACAAAGTAGCCCACGATTCTTGCCAGTGGGGTGAAGTTATGTTTTTTAACAGCTTCTTCACTAGCTATGATAACAGCCCCAGCACCATCAGATATACCCTTGAAAACAAAAACAGCAGACACATGAACTGGTAAAAGAATCCAGTTAAAGTTTGAATGCAGTATTTTCTTTCTCTGGCAGTTCTAGAGGTTGAGCCTAGGGCCTCACACATCCTAGGAAGGTGCTCTACTACTGAACTACATCCTCAGCCCTTTTTGTTTTGAGACAGGGTATGGCTAAAGTGCCCAGGCAGGGCTCATACTTGTAATTCTCCTGCTTCAGCCTCCTGAGTAGCTGGGATTACAGGCACTACCCTGGTGCCTGGCCTGTCACAGTGTTTCTAATGGAGTAGAATTAGGAAAAGGGTGGTACACAGGAAATGGTGGCGTAATTTTGGATACAACTTGTAGTACTGTGGTAGATTGGGATTATTTTAGGCATAGAATACAACTTCACTAAGGCACAACAGGAAAGGATGTCACAGTAAAGCTTATAGGTAGATGGGGATAGATATAAAAAGAAATTTGATATATTATATACACATGAATGAAAAAAAGTGAAAAATAAAATAAGAAATCAGAAAGATTTCCTTCTAATATTTTGAAAAGACTAAGAATTAAAAGAGTATCAGGGCCCCTAGCTAAAATATTTTGTGTTGGACTATTAAACCCAAATTAACAGAGTAAGAACACTCTGGTTTAAGCTAAATACCTAAAGATTAGCATGAAAGTATCTAAAAGAGACCCCATGTTCATTTTGCATGAAACATAGCAGGAAGAGTTCAAGCTGATCTGGGGTGACACAAACCGATGCATTCCCTGCAGTGACTGTCCCTTCTTTCTTGAACACTGGAGGAAGTTTCTGTAACTGCTCCAGGCTTGTTTGGGGCCGAGCATGCTCATCTACTTGCATTGTTTGTTTTCCTTTCCTTGTCTTCACTTCTATTGGCACCATTTCATCATTAAAGTAGCCAGCATCATTAGCTGAAATATAAGAAAGTCTGTCATAAGAATGAAAACCAAAAAAAAAGAGAAATAAGAAAGAAATCAAACATATGCTTCAATTTAATTTCTGGTCTATTTTCCACTCACATGGGCCTTTACTACTTATACAAACTTGCCTTCCCTACTGGAGGATTTAACACACTGTCATGCGTCTATGCAGATACATTTTGTACCTTTAGAAAAATTATTCTTTTGGGTTTTTCACACATTTTTTTTTCTTGCAAGATACCATTAGACTGTTAGGAATATCAGTCTATTAGTTACAGATGAAGTGGCACTAAATAGATTTTAACTTTCTTTAGGTAGACTAAGAAGATTAAAAAATTATCAAGTTGCATATCCCACCAAATAATCTATAATTGCAATTTAACAGTAATACACAACTTGAAAAATTATAGGAGCTATCACCAATACAAATACACACATAAAAGCATCTACTTTGAATGTCTATTAGAATGGACTATAGTAATCTACAGTTTCAAAAGTAGAGTAAGTCAGAAATAATACAACCTTAATCTGATTCTACTTTAGGCAAAATATTGCCCTTATATGCCTTTATTTGGTTTTAGAACCACCTTTTTAGATAAATAGGCAAAGAAAACATTGTTATCTCTACTTTATTGATATTCAGTGAACAAATGACTAGGTCAGACAACCTGTAGTTAGCAGAACTAAAAACATAAATGATAGCTCTCAACCTCTAGATCAGTAGTGTTCCACTGGAACACAGATGAGCCGAATGGCATCAGCTCCAATTCACTTTCCCTCTGAAATGTAAGATGGGCTGCAACTTCATTACTTCAAGTATTTAATACCCCAGATAACAGTTTCCATTTGCTTATAATAACTTTAAAAATCCTTTTCAGGAGATAATAAATTCCTTCATCTTATTGTACTGATGAGTCAACTACCGTTGTGTTGCTCATTTAGGCCTGGCTCAAGGGCACTGCAGCCAAGGTTTTGGACCAGTCAAGTGTGAGTCAGGTATAATGATTCTCAATCAGGAATGGGAGGAGGCATAAAAGGACACCCATGGGTCTTTTCTAAACCTCTCAGTCTTCCTTGTGACCACATGATGGCTCCTAGGAAAGGACATCCTCTGTGCCAGTTGTGACAGTAAGCAATCACCTTTGATGGAGTGTGTTGCGTGCCTCAGCATGCTGTACTGACAAATGAACCAGTGCAAGACTAAAGCCAAGTGTCCTCAAAGGGCCAAGGAACAATACTACTTTTTAAATAGTATTAACTTCTTTCAAAAGAGAAGTTGCCAGTTAACTTTGCAATATTAGAATATCCAATCATTTAAAAACAAAGAAATAATATAAAAATGTGATTTTTTTCAAAGGTATGAGTTTAAACTATTATTATACGTTCATTATAACCATGTGTGTGCGTGTGTCTGTATATGCTACTGGGAACTGAACCTAGGGCATTTGCACTGGACTGCATTCCTAGCCCTTTTTTATTTGGAGACAGAATCTTATGAAGTCACTAAGTTGCCCAGGCTGGGCTTGAATTTGTGATCCTTCTGCCATAGGCCCCAGACAGTGAGGATTATAGGTGTGTGCACCATGCCTCGACTTCATTATAATTTTAGAGGGTGAAAATCTTTCCTATATTTTTATCTGCAGATATTGATAATCACGCAGTTTTGCTAACCAGCTTTCCATCTCTGCTGTGACTGCAGGGCATATTTGTCACAATCTTCTCTGCTTATTTTATGTTGTACAGCAAGATTCTCTGCAGTAAGTGCCATGGCGAGTTTAACATGTGGATCTGTTAATCCTTCCCACAAAGAATCTTCCAGCTAAAAAGACATTAATAAAGGTGATTTGTTAAAGCATTATATTTTTAAACTAAAATGTTATAATTTCTTTAAACAAGTCAATCCCAACATAGTAAAATGAGATTTTCTGATAACATTTTCTATTATTATTCATATTTGGTTCTTGGATTTAAAAAAAAATCAATTAAAAACCCCAAATGTCTCATAATAAAATATACATATTCTGTCTCTAAATATGGAACGCTAAGGAGAGCCAAAAGTTAAGCATGCGAGGTAAGAATACAGGAAGTCACCCCACAATCAAAAATTAAACTCTTAAGATTGTATTTCATAAGAAACCTGACACTGAGTTCTTATGAAATGTTTTCCTGTAGCCATCTCTGTAAAGTAGTTGTGAGCGCTTTAGGAAAGAAGAGATCTGTACTCCTTGGTCATCCAAGGCTTTCAGTGACAGGTATAGCTGGTCCTATCAGCTACTAACAGGCAGAAAAGAACTGGGATCGGATCCCTGTGCAGCAGAAAGATTGTTAATTATTATCTAAGTAGTTAGAGTTTCTAATGGGTATGTACCATATGCTGCCTCAGCACCTTCAGAGCCACTGATTTGTCCTTGCAAAGAATTTCTTAAATATATTTAGCATCTAAAATACTGCTAAAATACTCCTACTTTCTAAGTCTCATTCCTTCCAGGTTCAAAAAGAGCCAGGTGAGAAACTGAGTGAACAGTGTAAGTCAACCATTATTACAAGAAGATGATAAATCATAACATGTCATCATGGGAAGAACTATGTTCTTTATCAGTATGAATATTCTAGGGTCATAGCTCTCAAAGATGGAAGGATCAGTTTCTGTCTGATTGATTTAGGACAATATAATCTGATCTAAGGACAGTATTTCCTGTGATGAAGAAGAAACCTCATTCAATGGAGACTGCTCCAGAAATACAGCTTCTGTAAATCACGGTAGAGATTTAATTACTCAGAATCCTAGCCACTGAGTACAGATTAACTTACAGATTGTCTATTTTTTGTTTTTGAGACAGGGTCTCTCTGTGTAGTTCAGCTTGGTCTTTTGAGTTTTTTGTTTTTGTTTTTGGTACCGGGATCGAACTCAGGACCTTGCGCTTGTGCGGCAGGTGCCAGAACCACTGTGCTAAATACCTGGCCCAAGACTCCTTTTTTTTTTTTTTGGTACCCGGGATCGAACTCGGGTACTTGTGGTTGCACAGCAGGCAGCAAAACCACTGAGCTAAATCCCCAACCTCAGCTTGGTCTTGAACTCACTATGTAGCCCAAACTGGTCTTGAACTTCAGTGATCCTTCTGCCTCAGCCTCCCAAGTGCTGGGATTATAGGTGTACGCGACCACACCCAGTGCTCTTTGCCTTTTGAAACCACTTCTCTTTCTCTACATCTCCTACACCTATATCTACTAGTTAAATCTAATTCCATGGGGTTCAAATGTCAAAGTCAACAATGAAAATAGAGTTCTGAAATAATTTGCAAATTTCAAATTGTCACATCTTGCCAGTATTTGATAAACAAAATAGGTTACAAAATTAAGTATTCTCTTCCTTAAAAAGTCGTGTTTTTAAAGTCACTCATATAATAACATATGAAATAATGCAAAACATTTTCAATGGTTCCAACCTTGAGATCAGCCCCAAATCTGGTTCCAAAACGGATGTTTCTGACACAGAAGGAAGCCTGGCTCATGCTTTCAGTTCCTCCACACAAGACTACTTCAGCGTCTTTAACACAAATTTCCTGTTTAAAAACGACGACAACAAAAAGCTCATTTATTGGGCCCAGAGTATATATTCAGAAGTACAAATATTTTATAAATTAATGGCAATTCTAATAAATGTTTTATCCTAGCTTAGCGTGTCAAAGGAAATACCTTAAAGTACTTGAAAAGCCAATGTTAATGTATCTATTCCCAAGATATAAGGGAAAAAAACCACCAAAACCATTTGTACACCCTACCTACCCCTGCCTACACTTGGACTAAGAAAGGTAACTCGTGTGTGTGTGTGTGTGTGTGTGTGTGTGTGGTGTGTGTGTGAGAGAGAGAGAGAGACGCTGAGGGATGAGCAGACTGAACGCAGGGTCTCACATACAGGTAGGCTAGCACTCTACCACTGAGCCTCAGCCCTTATTTCATTTTTATTTTATGACAAAATCTTGCCAAACTGTCCAGGCTGGCCATGAACTTATGATCTGTCTCAGCTTCTCAAGTAGCTGGAATTAGAGGCATGCACCACAGCTCTAAGTTTAAGAAGAGTAATTCATAACTCAATATAAATCTTAAAATCTGCAGAGATTTTTATCTGGCATAAGTGTACAATAGATAATAAAGGGCAAGTCTATTTAAAAGGCATAAGAAAAACTTATCCTCTTAACAGATGCACTTGAAGGAGCCCAGAGATCACTATGAACTATGTCAATCTGAGGGATTTAGAAGAAAGTACCTATTTTATCTTCTCTTTCCACTATTTGCATTTCTCAGAAAAGATGCAATCCAAAAAACCTCTGATGTTTAAAATTAATGCCAGGAAAATGTATATATTGTTATAAATACTAATGTGAAAATAATCTATTTATTACTCTTGTTTATTTCGTAAGGAAAGGAGAAGACTTGTATTTTTTTAATTTTTTTGGTACCGGGGATTGAACTCGAGAACTTGCGCTTCCGAGGTAGGCAGCAGAACCACTGAGCTAAATCTCTGGCCCAGAAGACTTTTATAAATAAAACTGGATTTTACTATACTCTTGTGCTCAAAGGAACACACATATTTACTCTACTGTCATTTAAAGAGATCATACTAGTTTGTACTTCTACCAACAGTATTATGCAGATCCTTTATAACAAAAAATATTTTCAAGGACATTCTTAAATTCTTCAACTCTGCTCCTTGCCTTACTGTCTTTATTCAGTATTCTTAGACTTGGGTTCAAATCCTGCCTCTATGATTTAGTAACCTTAATGTCCTTAATAATCAATTTCCTGGCCCAATAAAAATGAGAACAATAATATGTTCTTGCTTCACAAGATAGTTATGAAGATTAAACTAGATAGTGAGTGTAAATTGAGCACAGTGCCTGGTAAGAGGACGCTGTAAAAATGACAGCTACAGGCTGAGGCTGTGGCTTAGGGGTAGAGTGCTTGCCCAGCGTGGAAGAGGTCTTGAATTCAATTCCCAAATCACAAACACACAAAACAAAATGATAGTCATGCTGGGGATTTAGCTCAGTGGTTTTGCCGCCTACTGCGCAAGCGCAAGGACCGGAGTTCGATCCCCGGTACCAAAAAACAAAACAAAATGATAGTCATGATTAGCTTTTTAAAAAATATTATGGTGGGCCGGGGATTTAGCTCAGTGGTTCTGTCGCCTGCCTTGCAAGCGCAAGTTCCCAAGTTTGAACAAAACTTACCATTTTAACCATTTTTAAGGGCTCAGTTCAGTAGCACTGAATATACTCACATTGCAGTGCAATTTTTCTTATCATTCACCTCTAGAACTGTTTTCATCTCACGAAACTAAAATTTCATACCTATTAAACATGAGCCTCCCTTTGTCTCCTTCCCCAGCTCCTGGAAACTAGCATTCTACTTTGTTGTCATGAATCTGACTACTCTAGTACCTTGTGTAAGTGAAATCTTATAGTATTTGTCCTTTTGTGACAAGCCCTTCCACTTGAAGCTTCTACTTCAATCACATTGAATATTTTTCCAAGAAAAGTCAAATTTTATCTCATCTAATGGGTACTGTAAAAAGTAAAAAAGCTAAAATAGTCTATTGACATGGAGCATTCATTCTGGTAACTCTTAATATAATGTTCAGAAAATTACATAAAATGTTGCCCATACCTGACACCCAGTCACAATGGACTGGAAACCAGAGCCACAGAGCCTATTAACAATGAGAGCTGGGGTTTCTTTTGGGACTCCCACGCGTAAACCAATATGCCTTGCTGCGTATATGGCATCTGAAGAACTCTGGACCAGAGAGAGAGACAATGAAAATAATTTCCTCTATGAATTCAGGCATTAAGAACAAGCACAAAAGACATGGAAATGCTGGTAATCTATCACATATGATAAACTATAAGTCTTTAAAGTAGGACACAATGCATATAAGTATATTTTATATAATACGTGCCTATGATTTGAAGAGAGACTATAATTTGGCCAATCGTGTTTTTTGCATTTTTTTGTGGTAAAATAAATATAACATAAGCCTTACAACATTAACCATTTTTAAGTATGGCATTAAAAAATTTGTAATGTGGAACTGAAATAAGTTGACATAGAAATTGAAAAATTAGGATTTTAAAAGTTAAGCTGTTTGTCCAGCTTCCCTTGACAGAGTGACAACTGCCGCTCCCAGTCATGGTACCAAGGAAGTTTCAACAGAGCCAGAACATTTTTCTGGACCTCAAAATGTCCAAAGCCAGACTAATTCTACATATACGCATTTTTTGGCTTTTGTTCTAACCCTCCTATAAATAAAGGTACTTCTGTGCATTTGAGGAGGGCAGACTAGCTTGCCCTCCTAATTTGACAAAATTTGAAGACTTGGTCCACTAAGGTAAAAGGTTTTAGGGTATTTACTACACAATTCTTTTAACTTTTGTAAAGGTTTGAAGTTTTTCAAGATAAGATTCAACAAATTTTGTATATTTATAGGTTAGAGGTTTTGAATGCAGATCAAAGTGGGAAGAGCTCAATAAAACATCCATTAATCCACTGATTGTTTCATTCCCGGATGGAGATGAAATCACTTTATTTTATAAATTAATATTTTTAAAAAAATTCTTGGTCAGTGGTTATTCTTTTCTCAAGGTCTGTCTGTTTTGTAATTACAAATCTTATAATTCTCTGTCACGTACAGATTGGTAAAACAGATGTTTCAGAGAAACTATCATCATGCTTAATAGTGATAACATACTTGATGCTTTTTCTCTAACGTCAGAAATAAGACAGGTATAAGTCATTTCTTGTTACTTCTAGTCCATATCCAGGATTTTAGAAAGATAAATTAGTCAATAAAAAGAAGTAAAAAGAACATATTGGACTTCATTATTTCATAAGAAAAAAAGTAAAACTCTTACTCTAAGTGACATCAAATAATATTTAATTTGATTAGAAAAACACTTGAGGGGCCGGGGATTTAGCTCAGTGGTTTCGCCACCTGCTGTGCAAGTGCAAGGACCCGAGTTCAATCCCTGGTACCAAAAAAAAAAGAAAAACACTTGAGATATTTGTCAAATATTATTTGACATCTATTTTATTTTCTTCTACACATAAAAGCCTAACCTCAAATATTTATCTTTTTTTTTTTTGGCACTGGGGATCAAACTCAGGACTTTGAGCTTTTGAGGCAGGCATGGTGCAACTGAGCTAAATCCCCAGCCCCCAAATATTTATCTATTAAACACTTAACGCTTTTTTTTTTTTTTGGTACTGGGGATCAAACTCGGGTCCTTGTGCTTGCACAGCAGGTGGCGAAACCACTGAGCAAAATCCCGGGTCCCCATTTAACCCTCTTTTCAGGAAACTGTATCTTGGCCTGTCATAAAAGTTAACTGCAAGAAAGACTCTGTAGAAAGAGGCACAAGCACAATAAAAGTGATACTACTTAGAGTGATTTTGTTGTGAAATTTGAGAGAATCCCCATTGAGGAAAACTAGAAGGATTTTAGAAGAAATAAAGTTCCTTTAAAATAAATTCTAGGAAAAACAGAAAACCAAAGTATCCAATTTCTATTTAATCTATTCTAGTGCTCTTTTTTGGTCAGAAGTAAAAGTTTCCCCAATTAAAAAAAAAAAAGGTGAAAAGTTGAACTAATATAAAGAATTCTTAGCTAGGCATGGTGGCAAGCACCTGTAATCCCAGCATGTAGGAGGCTGAGGCAGAAAGATTATGAATTCAAAGTCAGCATGGGAAACATAGAAATACTATGTCTTAAAATTTGTTTAAATGAAAATATTTTAGATTCAACAGACATAATTATAAAAAAAATTGAAAAAAATATCATCACTTTTGAGGATGTGAAGATACCTAATGGCAGGATGGACAAAATAAAGTTCAATTCAAGGTCTAGTGTTTTTCCGTATCCATTGTAGTTCTCTTTCCTTTAGCAGTGATCACCTCATTGGCATCTTTTGAAAAATATACATCTTATCTCCACAATTACATTATATAACCTCCTTTTGGTCCACTTTGAGTACTTAATCTTTTCCCATAGCACCTAAAATGGCCTCTACTAGGGACCCAATGTTTGTACACTTTGAAAGAATATACAGCTTCAATTATCTGCGTGGATAATCTATTTTGTATACCACACACAGCAAAAAAGAGGGGAAGGGAGCTCCTTGTTCCCTACAACAAACACTGATCAAGCCCCTAAAACGTGAAGTTATGGGAGGTGTGTTTTACTGCCTGGGTCTGCCGCTCTCCTGCTATAGTTTGGATCTGGAGTGTCCCTCACAGGCCCATGTGTTAAAGGCTTGGAGTCCAGCCCAAGCTGGGAGATGGTCAAACCTTTAGAAAGGGGAGCCTAGTGGGAGGAAGTTAGGGAGGCATTTCCCTTCCTGTATCTCTTCCCTTCTGGCTGCCATAAGGTGAACAGCCCTTTTCCACCATACACTCCAGCCATGATGTATGCATGGCCATAGGTCCAAAGCCAACAGGGCCAAGGGACCAATGGACTGAAAACTCTGAAACCATGAGCCTTTCCTCCTTTTAAGTTGATTAGCTCAGGTATTTTGTCATAGTGATGGAAAGCTGGGTAACACATCTCCTTAGGTGGCACACAGAGAAAACCAATTAATTTCACATTAAGTCTAAGAAGTCAATTTTAAGAAGCACTTTTTAAGAAGCAATGAAATTCATCCCTAGTCAAACATATGTACACAGTTTCCAGAATATATGTTGCTTTGACTCAATACTTCTGAAGCCAAAGAATTACTCAAATTACAAATTTCATGAATGTATAACTATTAACTTATTCATCATGTGGCACAGTAAAGGAATTATTTTTGGAAAATGATCAGGGTAAGTAACAGAAGTGAACAATGCCCCCTGCCCTACTAACCTGTATGACATTGCCTACAATGACACTGTCAACAGTTTCAGGTGGGACTTTGCCAGCAGACAGAGCAGCCCTGGCAGCAAACTCATTCAAATCAATAGCACTGTAGTCTTTCAGAAGACCTCCGTAAGCTCCAAAGGGTGTTCGCTTAGCAGCAACAACAAACACACCTAATGCAAGAAGAGATTTATAAGCAAGCACAGATCAGTTGGTATCTCTTAACATGCTTTAAATAATCTTACTGTGAAACTTTACTGTAAAGTACAATTTTCAGTTAATAGTCACTGCCTATTTTTGTAACAGTGGCTTTTGCTTCATTTATCTTTACCCTTTCCACGTAATTCTTCCAATTTCATTAGTTCTGCTTCTCGTCATGGATGAATATGTTCTGATCTGACCACAGATAACAATGAAAAACTCCCCACAATATAAAAGAAAAACTATGTGAAGGTCCTAGAAATGAACAAAAGTAGACAGATATGAAAAACAATTGAAGAAGGGAACAGCACACAGTGAATGCCCCATTTATTTATTTATTTATTTATTTATTTAATATATATATATTTTTCCATTTATTTATTGAAAGCTAGCACTCCGTGCTGCATGGATTGAATAGAACTCTGAAATCTAGTCATAATGGCCTGCAGAATCAGAGAAGAAAGTTCACGGCAACTACAGCCATTGAAAAGTGATGAGAATCCGAAAAAGAGGAACACCAAAGAGGAAGAGTATAGATTTTACATAAAATTGCCCAAACATCTGACACTTGAATCACACAAATGTGGATCAGATCACAAGTATCTCAGCCAAGTTTAAAAACACTGACTTTGAATTTGAGGGGCTGCCTACCATAGGGAAAGACACAGTTTGTAGTATGAGTTCAGCCAGAGTTGCTGCTTGCAAAAAATTCACTGAAGAAATGAGTCTAACAAATGGTGCTGGAAAAACTAGACAGCTACATTTAAAAATATCAATCTAGACACAGATTGTGTACTTCTCACAAAAATTAAAAATGAACTATAGACTTAAAATATAAAATGTAAAATAGAATTTATAGAAGATAATAGAAGAAAACAATCTGTGTGTTTGATAATTTTTTTAGATATAACACCAAAAGTATAATCCACAAAGGAAAAATTTGTTAAGTGGAACTTCATTCAAATAAAGAACTTCTGCTCTTCAAAAGACATTGTTAAGAGTATGAAAAGACAAGCCCCGTCTGGAAGAAATATTTGCAAAACACTTAGCTGGCAAAAGACTGGTATCCAAAACATAAAAAGAGCTCTTAAAGCTCAATAATAAGAAAAACAAAGAAGAAAACAAAATCAATTTAAAAATGAGCAAATGATCTGAACAGATACCTTATCAAAGAAGTTATAGAGATAGCAAGTAACTATATGAAAAGATGCTCAATGTGATATGGTATTAGAGAACTGCAAATTGTAACAATGAGGTACTATTACACAATTATTTCAATGACTAAAATCTCAAACACTGACAACATCAAATGCTGGTGTGGAGGTGGAGCAATAGGAACTAATTCTTTGCTGGTGGGGAGGCAAAGCAGTACAATACAGCTACTTTGGAGGACAGGGAGTTTCTTACAAAACTAAACAAACTCTAACCAGGAGTCAGACATTGTGTTCCTTTGTATTTACCTAAATAACCTAAAATCTATAAAAGAACTTACTCTTAATTGCCAAAATTTGAAGCAACTAAGATACTCGTTGATAGCTGAATGGATAAACAAATTGGGGTGCATACCATGGAATACCATTCAATGATAAAAAGAAATGAGCTATAAAGCCATAAAAAAGGAATCTTAAATGCATACTGCTAAATGAAGGAAGTCAGTCTGGAAAGCCATATGCTGTATAATTCTTTTATTTATATCTGAAAAAGGAGAAGTTATGGAGACAATAAAAAGATGAGTGCAGGGCCGAGGATTTAGTTCTGCCACCTGCATCGCAGGCACAGATCCCCAGTATCAAAAAAAAAGAAAAGAAAATTCAATTGCTAAAGATTTTTTAAAAACTTAAAATGGTGAAGACACATTAACTCAGGCTTGGCAAGGTGTGCTGACAGCAAGAGAAAACAGCAGTAGGAGAAAAACAAGAACTCTGCCCTCATTTCTAACAGCATTGCCAGGTTAAATATTCACTCATTTTCCTCCAGCAACTATAGAAAACAACCAGGACACATTAAGGAAAACTGCTGTGGCATCCTTTTCTGCTTCAGGAGCCTTGGCTGCTTGCTCTGAGGGGTTACAGGAACCTTCCCAATAATCCAATGAGCAGTAAACAATATTTGGTGAAATATTGGGTGAAAATCTCCCATTAAGCAGTAGGATGGGTGCTAAGAAAAGTCTGGGGTATTGGTTCTTGACTGAAATCTGATCAGCTAATGACAACCTTTACCAATGTTAAATATGGTCCCATTCAAATGTGTCTTTCCTTAACAGTAATCAGTCCCGTGCCCTGCTTTCTGACTACCAGTCAGTCCTGTAAGCACTTCATATGTAACTTGAGAGAAACCTGCTTTAACCTTAATGTATTCTAACTAGTCTATAACCATCACTTTTTCTTTTTGTTTTTTTTTTGGTACCGGGGATCGAACTCGGGTCCTTGCGCTTGCGCAGCAGGCGGCGAAACCACTGAGCTAAATCCCTGGCTAACCATCACTGTTTGAAGCTCAAAGGCTTGAGTTCTAGTCATACCCAATACCTACCTATGTTATTACAAATGATCCACTTTACCTTTTCTGGACCTTAGTGTCCTTAACTATAAAAGCAGAGTAAAGGGAGAAAATATGACTACCATGTCAAACATTGTTAGTAAACATTGTTGGTAAACCGTATCACAAATTTATAAACTTCCTATTTAATATAGGTGTTGGTGTACATTTTTTTTCCTTTATTGGCTCATTGTTTTCACAAAATTTTCAATGAAGTCTGTCTGCATTACTAGAAAAAGGTAACAGCTACTGGTAAAATATTAAAACGAGACATTAGTAAGAATATTATTTTTTAAAAATAGCTCATTACAAAGGCAGCTTCTAAACGAACTGGGTTTAAAAATATCAACATGCTCCTTTATTAAGTAAATGTAATTAAGTTCCGAATTGGGAAGTGCACTGGTAAGTGAAATCTATATTGTAGAAAACTGGACACACTGCATTTTGTGGCAGAATATTTACTTTGCATTTGATTTGTTCACATGCCATTTTTGGCTCTTCTGACTTCCGAATCCCCAAACCAATGCCTACCTGACACCCTCTACTTGGGTGCTTCACAGGTATCAAAAACTTCACCTAAAACTGAATTCTGAACCTCCCTTTCCAACTCTACCTCCCCGTTTTCCTCACTCCGTAAGAGGTAACATCAGAAACTAGTTCCTCAAGCCAGAACCTTTAATCATTCATTACGTTTCCTTCTCTTTTACTCACCACACTCAAAATCACTTTGTTCTACCAAATGCACCTCCAAATCTGTGTCAGGTCATCCTTCCTTACCCCCTTTCGCCCACTCCATTGACCCCACACAGTCAACACCTTAATTTGCTATTGCCTGGACCTCCGCAATCCTTAAACGGTCTTTTTATTGTCCCAGAGCCTGCAGGAAATTAGGCCCAGTAGAAACCAGACGCTGTCATTCCCCGCTTTAAATCCTTGTATTGCCTTCCACGGGATTTACAATAAAACCCCACCTTTTTCACAGAGCCCACTGGTCCTTAGACCACCAAAATGTTCAGTTCTTAGATCCTGTGAAACCTTCCCCTGTCTCGGTGCTTTGATAAGTCCTCGTTGAATATTCTTCCATTGACTCTGATCACTTGTTATGAAAATGAAGTTTATATAATTTTTTAAAACAAGCCAGTAACTCTGGAAATGCCTGCACTGCCAGTAGTCTCAAACGAAAATAAGAGACAGACGTTTCGGGCAGAAGTTCTGGGGGACCTTTGTTTTTGTTTTGTTTTGTTTGTTTGTTTTTTGGTACCGGGGATCAGGCGGCGGCACCACTGAGCTAAATCCCCGGCTGGGGGGACCCTTTTGAAGCATCAATTCGCCCCAACACCCCCCACCCCCAGATGGTCCGGCTCCTCTAGCTACTCTGGCCCAAGCTACTCTAGCTTTGGGGGGCGCCCCCGAAGTTGAGCTCGAAGCCATGGGTCACTACACCGCGAAGGAGCGACCTCCAAGGTCAGAACAAACTGACCTTGGTCTCTAATAAATCCGCTGAAAATTACACTGAAATCGTTGTCGCTGAATCTTACAAGCACGCCCCTTAACCCAAACGATCTCAAGTCTGCCCCACAGCCGAGGAGACTAAACTTCTCCCAAGACCACTGACTGTCCACTGAGCCCGAAAGCGGAGGCCCGGCCCGGCGTGGGATCAGACCCGCAGGGCGAGGAAGGGGTTGCGCTCACCTCGGAGCAAGGCCATGGTGGCAACTTGGACCGCACGAAGACCACTTGTTTTTGCAATGCCCAGAGGTTCAGAGGTGACCTGGAGCCGTAAAGTCCGCAGCTTTCACTCCCCGCGATGCCACGCCCCTGCCCTTTCACCCACTTCCTGCAGGCTCCTTGCTCGGCCCCGCCCCGGGCCCGCTGTGGGCGCCAGGCTCCCTTTTCGCCATTCCGTGGGAACCAAGGATGCCACCATCTCTGGGCAGCAGGCTCGGGGAGACAGGCATCATAGTTTTTACGGACTTTGGAGAGGCTCTTTTTTTACAGACTTTCTAGAGAATTCCTTTGCCATCACCCGTTCCATGCTAACCTCGTTTTGTAAAATCCCCAACCCGTCCCTCCTCGCCCTTGGCCCTTAGATATAGCATAAACAACTACTAGTGGTCTGGACGCCCAATGCCTCAAGGGCTCCAGAGAGGTGGGGCGGGCGGCTGCGGGGCTAGGGGCGGGACCGGAAGTCTAGTGGGTGGGGCGGGAGGGGGATTGGCTGCTCAATCCTGCGGTTGCGCAAACTGTTGGGCGGAAGTCGAAGTAGCTTAGCTGGGGACCCGGCGGGTTTCTGGGTAACTGGGGCGGCTTGGGCGTTAGGAAACGGGGAGGAACGAGTGTGGTAGGGAGGGGACAGGGCTCTCCAGTGTCCCCAGTGCAGCCCCCAGTGAGCCCGCGGTATTTTCCTTATATGATCAGGCGCCATTGTGGGCGGTGTTGCTTGCCTGGAGCCTGAGAGGATTATGAAACGTGTCAGGCGAAGTGGGGCCAGGGGACCTGGTGTGGGAGAATTAGGGGTGAGGGACAAGCAGGTGAGGGTAGGCTAAGAAGAGGTTGAGGGAAGGCCCTGCCGCTGTAACGGTGAGTCCTGGCCAATGATGACTAGACCACTGCGCAATCTGAGTTCTGGGAACCAGGTGATGGAGTGTGTTGTAACAGACTGAGGCCAGGCAAGCTGGAAGCGGCCTGGGCAGAGGAGAGGGGAGAGCACCTTAGAGCCAAGGCTTTGAGGCAGCCAGGTTGCCCAGGGCTTGGTTGACTGCGTGAGAACGGGTCCTGGGAGGCAGTGATATTTTCTCAGTTGTCAGCCACTGCTTGCCATGGAATCCTGCTTTTCAAACTCTGGCGGCACTGTTGTAATGTTGGTTTAAAAAAAAAAATCTTATGGTGAAAACTTAACTACAGTGTATAGGAGAGCAGAAGGGCTTGTTCAGTAAACACTCGTGAATTTGCTGTTTCACATCAATCCCTCTGTTCTTCAAGCTAGCCATCTTTATTTTTTAAAATAAGATGATACTCTACTTAAACCCACAAATACTTCAGCTCACATTAGAGTTGAATATTTACAGTTCTTTTAAAGACAAAATTTCTATGTGGCCTTATATACAAATCTTAAGTTAGATGAACTTCACAAATACACTTAGAAAACTTTTTACATTATTGTATGAAAAAGTAAAACTATATATACACACACACAGTCTTGTACACACTTCTATTCAACTTTCCTTTGTCCACCGCATATTTAAGAAAAGGGGGGCTGGGGATTTAGTTCAGTGGTGCCACCGCCTGCCTCACAAGCGCAAAATCCCGAGTTCAATCCCTAGTACCAAAAAAAAAAAAGGTCTCACAATTTCCCATTCATTATACAAATCACCATCACATACTTTCAAAAATTACTGTTTTCTCTAGTTAGAAATGTCCCTAATGTGTGGGTCCTAACACATTGAGTGAAAAGTTAACATGTTAAAACATGTAAATACATGTAAGAATATTTACATAGTCTCAGTATTAGAAGAGTAACTTACAATGGAGAAATCTTGTATTAAGTAAACGATCAAGCTTAAGGTCACCAGTAATAGGACCAACTCATGGGCGCCCCTACACCGAGGACAACCTCACTGATGTAGTATTTCTCCCAAAAATGTCTAACCTGAATCTAATCATAAGACTCAAATTGAGGGACATTATGCAAAATAACTGATGTGAGCTCTTCAAAAATAATGTGCAAAACAAAAAAGCTGGGAATGGTATGATTAAAGGAGAGTAGAGATGTAACAATTAAATGTAATGTGGAATCATTAATTGAAACCTGGATTCAGCAAAACCTCAAGGACAATACTGGGAAAGTTGGGAAGACTTAAACATAATTTGTATATGGGATAGTAATACTGACATTAATTTTCCTGATTATGATAATTATACTGTAGTTATGTAGGAGACTGTCCTTTTTTCTTAGTAGATATACACTGAAATACTTAGAGGTGAAGAGTTATGATGTCTGCATCTAACTCTCAAATGCCTCAGAAAAATTAATGGACAGAGAAAGAAAAAGCTAATGTGAAATATTACCAATTGAATCTAAATGAAAAGTATATGGCTATTGTTTTATTTTTACTGCTTGTCTATAGATTTTAACGTCTTCAGAATAAAAACTGGGAGGAAAAATCCTTTAAGAAAGCTACAAACTTATTTGAAACACATTATTCTCTAAAGTATTTAGTCATTTTCATGTTTACATAACTAAGCAGGTGACATTGTACAATGCTCAGTATGTCTATCAAAATTAATTACAAGTTTTTACCCTAGACATGGAAACTCTCATGAGATATAAAGTTAATTGTTCTAAGACATTTAGCTTTCACTATTTTTATTTATTTATTTATTTGGTACCAGGTATTGAACTCAGGTCCTTGCGCTTGCACAGCAGGTGTTGGACCCACTGAGCTAAATCCCTGGCCCACTTTCACTATTTTTAGAAATGCAGTATTATCTTTCTGTACTTTTTTTTGGAGGGAGGGGGGTGTTAGCATAAGATTAGAAATTAGCAAATCTGTTGTCAAATACATAAATCCTAGTGTTAACATTTTATCAATTTCAGTGCTACCTGGACTCAGTCTTATCTCCCACATTTTCTGGGTAATTTTTTTATGGTTAAACAGTTTTCCTTGCCTTTTTGTAACACTCATAATTGATGGCAGCTTACCCAACAGTGGCTTTAGAAGTCTCAATAGGAGAAAATATGGAAAGCTAGTGAAGTCAGTAGGGACTAAGACAATTTTTTAAAAATGAGCATATAAATCTGAAAGAGTAACAACAGTAATGTATGTGCTCACTGTTACTCTAACAGTTTTGGTGAGAATTTCATTTTTGTTCATTGAAAAGCAATTATTAGCTTGAGTGTGGTTTGTCCTTGCAATAAATACCTACTCTTCAGAAAGTTCAAGTTGCCAAACAAGGTAAAAGAAAGAAAATGTAGACAGAAAATAATATAGATACTCATTTGCTGAATTCCCTCATTTTAAGTTTTATTGTAAGTCTTGGTGAGTTCCAGTAGACTTAAGACATTGAACTGAGTTGAACTGAAATCTATTTGTTTCTCTACTTGTTTGGAAGTTATTTGCAGCATCTATACCCTTAACAAGCCTTAGTTAGAATTTCATTTAGTCATATAATTTTAAGCTAAATCCCGTACCTCCTTGGGTCTAAGTTTACTCTGTAAAATACTAACGTTGGTGGAAGATGACCACATTGCATCATCTTCAGCCAAACACTTCCATAAACATATCTATAGTTGAACAAATTGGGTTGCTCATCGTCCTGCATGCTCATCGTCCTTGCAACAAATTTGGTTGTTTGTTGTCCTACTCTTCATGGGAAACTGCACAGCAAGGGCATAATTTATGGAACTGGGGCATCTTGGTAAAAGGGTGTTAAGATGTGGTCTTTGGAGAGGGTCCAAAGGTTCACCCTCACTTTGCTGTCACAAAGTAGGGGTGTCTTTGATGAGACATCTCTATGTGCAGTCATTGGTCTGAGAAATGGATCTGCGCTGTTGTCACAGCATCACTCAGCAGTACAATCCTGTAGGACCATTGTATGTGTAGTCTGTCTGCTGATGGGAACATCATTATGTGACATCTGAAAACTATAAACTTACCTAGAAAGGGGGCAGATTGGAGCCAGGGTAAAGCCACATGTCATGAAGTCCCAGTCCCTCCTAGTAGTTGGGAGAGAGGTTGTTAAGCGATCCATGGTTTACACAGCAATTTTCTTTTTATCTGTGCCAAAATTACAAAGTGGTCATTTCACCTCACTTCATCAGTTAAAGAGCAACCTTGTCTGATGCTGGTGCTTGTAAGATTATTTATGTGCAAAAGAACAGCATGGCCTAGCAGGGTACACCAGGCCTACTTCTAATACCTCTAGGACTACCTCCAGTGTCAGACCAGTGGATGTTTGGCTGCTTTTCTTTCTCAGCTGTTACTAGGTAAGTCCATCTTGATTGAAATTTGGTACTTCCTCCATAGTTTTCCTGATAAGCTGTTAAAGACAGGACTAGATATGAGTATGAGCAGGAGATGGAAGCTGGTGTCTCACACATACTAAGTACATGCTCTACTGCTAAGCTACGCTCTAGTCCATGGTGAACACTGTATTTCAGTAGTGGTTCCTACTGAAGAGTGTTTAAGAGGACCATCCCTGTAGATGTGTTGTTAAATCTGGGTGAGGCTGATTACAGGCCTTTATAAGTGATTCTAATGTATGTTTCTAGTTAAGAAACAGTATCCCATGTTCCATACAGATGTTCAGTTTTTGGGCTCTCTTTCCATTGGTCAATTTTTTTTTAATTATTATTTTTTTGTACTGGGGATTGAACTCAGGTCCTTGTGCTTGTGCAGCGGGTGGGGAAACCACTGAGCTAAATCCTTGGCTCCATTGGTCAATTTTTCTCTGTGCCAGCCACACTCATCTTACAAAGGCGTGATTGAAAAACAGGGTGAATGTTTACAATTTTAAAAATGTATTATAGTAAATGGCAGATTGCCATTAATTTCCCACAAAATACTCCTTTTGCACTGATCCTATCATTCTTGCCACTTGTTGAACCAGTTCTGGAAATCTTCTGGCTTTAGTTGTGATGTTGTAGCTGCCCTGCACATCCTGAATCAACTCAAAATGTTTTTTCATGTTGTTTTCACTTTGGGTAAGAGCCAGAAGTCACACAGTACCACATATAGTGAATAAGGTGGATGAGGATACACTAATATTTTTGTGAGGCTACCTTTCTGTTGGATGACACTTGGCAGCAGCACTCACTGATTTTTTTTTTTCTTTTCTTTTTGGTATTGGGGATCAAACTGAGAAGCCTTGCACTTACGAGGCTGGCGGCGGATCACTCACTGTATTTTTGATCACACATCATAAAGACATGAAAGAGGACTTCCAGAAGTGCTTCAGAAAGTGGCAAGGATGATGGATGTAACTGAAGCGAGGGGGACTAATGGCAATGTCTCTTTTACTATAATAATTTTAAAATTTTGAACAT